AATGTGTGAATCAGACAGGCACTGTCGAACAGGCTGCGCCTTGGCGTACCCGCGATGTTCGAAGGCCTCCTGGCCTGAAAGGACTCGTCTTTGACACGAGACTGCGATGTTCGAAGACTCCTGCTCTGCGGGGACTCAGTCTGTGACCCGAAAATTGACTGTCCTAAGTGACTGTCAAGCCAACCCACCGGAAACCATGGACTCGGTGGTGACCAGGTGGCCAGGGGTCCGTGAAGGGCCCAAATCGCTTTGAAACGATGAAACTTCAAAACTGTCGAAGGATTTGCAGCATTCAGGAAACGCCCAGTCCGATTACAGTTCTTGAAATGGTTCGTAAAGCCCACACAGCGCCTATTTTTAACGTCACTCTCGTGGTCAAGAACAATGAGTGGGAATATCAGGCCACAAAACTCAGATATTCCAGTCAAGGGCGGTTGTGTAATTTCAAAGCCAACTTCTGGAGGACTCTGACGAAATCCCTGGATTTATCTTATTATGATGAATGTCTAGACGGGTTGTTATTTTCCGAATCGCCCGTGAGCTTCGTAACACTGGGAGGTTACGAAGCTACCAAAGGCCTGAGACTATCCAGGGATTCAAGATAATTGAGAATAGTCGATCTGTCCATGCCATGTCCCCATCGTTGGTTTGCCAGCCTGCCCGCGCCAGCCTCATATCCTGCCATATGATGCTGCTTCATTTCCTGCAAGCGTGCGGAGCTAGAAAAGGCTTGCGGCATTGCAGAGACTCATGATCAAGTGCGCAAAGCTGGGAGTTTTCAATCTCGGTCATTTGTTATGATTTCTTTGGATCTGGGGCGGGTGCTCACCGCGTTTCTTACATCGCACATGCACATTTCTAATTACGCCTGCTAGTGCACACGCTCTGCTCTAAGAAATATGGTCGTATGGTTTGTACTGCGAGGTGCGCTATGCAACTGTGCGCTTTGGGGCGGCTTAAACACAGCTCATGCAGAGAGCAAAAACATGCCAGCTTTTGCACGGCCGGTTACTCACCAAGGCTGGCGTTTGGCACCCGTCGTTTGGCGTGAAAGGCCTCACTCTGTTACACTCCGACCTAAAACAATGCAGAATGTAGAGAGCCATCACGGGCACTCCGGCGGCGTTACCCCCATGACTACATCCAGCACTCAACGATGCACCACCCTCCAACAGCAGTCAGTTTTTAGCTCACCTCCCCCGCCGTGCATCACCGTTTCCATGCCTGGAGTGTGCCTCGCGCCGGGAGCATTCCGAGCCTGATGAGGGCGACTCGCCGCCTGTCAAGAGGCTCCTTTCACCGGCAAGGCGTGCTGCGGTTCAACAGCGGTCGGAGCGCGCCCATAGCCGACCCTTAGTTTGTGCAGGCCACTGCTCCGTCGGTCGAGATCTCCGAGCAGCTGGCTGCGTCTGTGTGGGCGTGCGCCGACCACCGCAGGGTAGCGCCTTTCGCCACTTCAATTACTGTCCGGCGTCTGGGCGCACCGCTCGTTTTATCGGCCATTTGAATTGCATCGACGTCGGCGACGGCCAGGGACGCGCACTGATGTCGCCCGGCTCGGCTGCCGGGGCTGGCCGTAAAAGGCGCCGGGCCTCGCAGCCGGTGGCCTGTGTTGGGCGCTTCGTTTGAGCCGAGAATGGCGCGTTGCCGCCGCCCGCCCTCGGCACCGAGGCCATGCCGGAGGTCACCGGGTCCGCCCGAGGTCAGCAGCCGTCGCCAGAGGTCACGTGGTCCTCGCGGGATCAGCAGCAGTCGCCAGGGGTCGCGTGACCAGCCTCAGGCCGTCAGCGCTCACCAGGGGTCGATCCGAGGTCAGCGGGTTCGCTTCGGGCCACCTGACTCGCCAGAGGTCTGCGCCGTCACCGGAGGTCACGCCGCTGACACGCCGGAGAAGTCGGTCCCGGCAGCCGCGGTGTTGTCGTTTGGTTGGCTTTGGTACGGGGAGCGGCACGGACCTGGCGCCAGCCATCCGTGGGCCTGGGCCCGGCGCCATAACGCAGCTGGAGCTTCTTTTATTGCCTGACCTGGGCACCGCGATCCACACCCATCTGTCTGATCCGGGGCGCGTCAGCCGGATCGGGGCGCTCTTCAACGAGAGACACGGCAGAGGAACGGAGTGAGGAAGAGGGAGGTCCGTGGACGGGAAGCACCGTGTGCCCCTTGACAGTTCACAGAGGAGGGGACAGTGCGGTCTACGGTCCGGTAGGGGATTCAAAATTGTCGCCAGTGGCTGGAAAGGGCCGGAAGACCTGGCCGCAGTCGGCTCGGTCCCGCCGGAAGCTCGACCCGCTTCTGCGGGAGGCCCAGCTGCCCCCCGCCGGCCGGCGAGAGCGGCATATCGGGCGATCGGGCCGGCGTCGCTGCCCTATACGTCGCTCGTGCATATTTCATGGCGCGCGAGAGGCGAGATGACGGCGTGATTGGCGGTGCAGTCTGCTGGTCGCCGGCTGAGGTCGCTCGGCTCGGACGGCAGGGGGAGGGGAGCAGGGCGCCCACGCGGTCTGGCCACTGCAGTCGGACTGGCCACTCGACGGCGGCGGGGAGGGGCAGGGGGGGGGGGGGGTGGCAACCGGTCCGCGCTCGACCCGGCGCACGGGGCTTGGCTATTTGTCAGGATGTCACGAGGTTGGCAGAATGAAGAAGTGATGGTAAAAGTGGTGACGACATCTGTTGTTCGAATGCAGCGGGGTGTTGTTCTGAAACTTTGCGACAACATCCGCTGTCAAAATGACTTTATGTGACCGGCATCTTTGTCGTAGAATGCCTGTAACAGTGCTCTGGGATCACCGGTTCATGGATTGACTCAAACTAAGAGGACCTAAGTGTGACCCGGTGTCGTTTGGGATTTAAACCCTGTGTTTAGTTATTTGATTCAGTCAACCTCTTGCTTGTGAACTTGTTTTAAGATATAGACATAGCCAGGGGACAAAAGGGTTGCCCCCCTTAGCTGAGTGGCTTACGCTAGATGTTGACCCCCTAGCCGAGTGGCTTACGCTAGATGTTGACTTCTCAGCCGAGTGGCTTACGCTGGATGTTGACCCCTTAGCCGAGTGGCTTACGCTAGATGTTGAACCCCTTAGCCGAGTGGCTTACGCTAGATGTTGACCCCTTAGCCGAGTGGCTTACGCTAGATGTTGACCCCTTAGCCGAGTGGCTTACGCTAGATGTTGACCCCTTAGCCGAGTGGCTCGCGCTAGATGTTGAGCGATTTCGCAGTAATTTGGTCCCAATGCCCAGGATTTTGAAAGCAATTTTACAGTTGCTGTCTCCTCTCCCGAGCAATATTTTGGCCACTTGTCTGGCTTAAGATGAACTGTTCACTCGGTATGTCACAAACATCACTGTAGAATTACTATAACGATGTCTTTTATAGGGAATAAAAGCACGCTAACGAATCACAGGAACGTAATGGCTTCACAACTTTTTGAAACTGTGTGTTGACCTCACGGTAAGCCCATGCTTAGTAAGTAAGCTCTTATTTTTCGCTGTTTTTTTATTCATGTGCAGTGTGCATCCATGTTGCAACGAACACCCGTCTTAGATGTAACCCGATCCAGATGGTATTTACATCCCGCCTGAAATGATTTTCAATGTTCAAGTGGGGTACTGCGGTGAAAGCGGAATGCTTTAGTCGAATCGATTAGTCACTCTCGGAAGGTAGTTTAATGGTCTTGATTCCATCCTCCAATCTTGAAATACGTCTTCATAATTGGAGGCCGCGGTAGTGGGACGGAGTTGAAACTGGTTACCAATCCATCAGCGGTTTCCCCATAGATATTTGGAGAAAGGCATGAGATCCAACGAGGCAGGAAGACGGCGGTCCAGGTCCTGCTTGTGACAATATGCAGTAGCTGGAAACGGACTTGTTTGTCCGAAAGGTCATGTTTGTTGCTGTAGCGAAGGCCAGGTATCACCAAGTGTGTTTATGGACTGAGCCCGAAAGCTTTGTTACGTTTGCCAATGCTCCCCGACGGCTAAGCAGGCGCGGGGCCGGCAGTCTGCACACCATTCTTGATTTGTACGCCTCAACTGGGGAGCTGGCGCCTGATCCTCGCCGTCAGGGATCCTGTCCATGGCACCCCGGCACCAGCGTCCGCATCCGCACACGATAGCGCTCTGACCTCGCGGTAATGCTCTGGTATCCGCGCCCCGCCCTCCGGCCCGACAGGTCCCGAAAGGGATCTGCTAATCTGGCAGCGCGGATTCCGGCACGGAACCTGGCAACCTGCCGTTTCCCGTGACTTAGCGTCGCTTAGCAACTGCAGCCCGCCAGCGGTGCAAGGAAGGACTGCAGTTAACCGATGGCAGAGCGCTTCATCCATCGTGATACGGTCTCGATGCAATTAGATAGATAAGTTGTATATCTTGGGAAGGAGCTGAGCTTCGTCATTCATCTTTTGAACATTCTCATTTTGATTATGCTTTTAAGGACGACCTAATTGATCCCTGTCATTACCCTGATTGATCGATGTCCCTGAATGCACCTCATGATGGCAGATAACGTTACTATATTTGATCGCACATGATCAAGACTGCGCGTTAAACAGATTCCAGGCAGGCGCCTGCTGTGCAGCTATTTGTCTCAATTCATGCCCCGCGGAACTCGCTTGTATGTTCAAGTCCATATGTAAATGCTGTCTGGTTGATTCAATGGGCCCATCTCGTTAAGATCATCCATTCACCAATTCTGCTAAATCACTCGAGTCTAATATGGTATCGCATGCTTGCGAATAGTGAAAAATGGTCTATTAATTCAGAGGCAGCAGGGTGAACGCAAATGTTATCCCGCAGCCGTGCCAAACGAGCGACCGGCGTGGTGTTTAAAAGGCGGTCATCCATTCAGGTGCGCTGCCTGCGCCGCCGGCGGCCGCCGCCGCTGCCCGGCGGCGCCGGCTGATCACCGTCCCGCCTCTCTCCGCTCTCTCGATCCGTCATGAATTCATTCAGCGGCCGTTGGCGCGGCTCACATTAAAAACGCATCGTGTGTGTGTGACCCGCAG